CACCCCTGTTCACCTACATTCAGCAGCTGGTTGGCCTCCTTGCCGTCCTGGTTGACCCCATAATGAACATTCTGCTGCAACCTGTCCACCTCCTTCCCGGCCTGGCCAGCAGCATGGTGGACACCTTGGCCAAGTTTCTCCGCTTCCTTTCCAGCCTGGCCAGCAGCGTGGTTGACCCCTTGGCCAAATTTCTCTGCCTCCTTCCCGGCCTGGTTGACCCCATCGTGGATCCCTTGGACTACTTTGTCTGCCTCCTTTCCGGCCTGTTCAACGGCATGGTGAACTCCCTGGCCAAAATGCTCCACAGGCTTCCCAGCCTGGTTGACTCCATTGTGGACCCCTGGGATCACTCTGTCCCCCTCCTTCCCAGCCTGCCCTGCAGCATGGTGGACCCCCTGACCAAACTTCTCAGCCTCCTTCCAGGCCTCATCAATCCCATGGTGAACCCCCTGGCCAAACTTCTCTGCCTCATTCCCGGCCTGCCCAGCAGCATGGTGGACACCCTGACCAAACTTCTCTGCCTCCTTCCAGGCCTCATTAACCCCATGGTGGACCCCTTGGCCAAACTGCTCTGCCTCCTTCCCAGCCTGGTTGACCCCAGGATGGACACCTTGGACTATTTTGTCTCCCTCTTTTCCAGCCTGTCCTGAGGCATAATAAACATCCTGGCCAAGCCGCTCCACATCCTTCCCAGCCTGGTTAACTCCATGATGGACCCCTTGGACTATTTTTCCTCCATCTTTCCCAGCCTGCCCAGCAGCATGGTGGACCCCCTCACCAAACTTCTCAGCCTCCTTCCAGGCCTCATTAATCCCATGATGAACCCCGTGGCCAAACTTCTCTGCCTCGTTCCCTGCCTGCCCTGCAGCATGGTGGATCCCATGACCAAACTTCTCAGCCTCCTTCCAGGCCTCATCAATCCCATGGTGGATCCCCTGGCCAAACCTCCCTGCCTCGTTCCCAGCCTGCCCAGCAGCATGGTGGATCCCCTGGCCAAACCTCCCTGCCTCACTCCCAGCCTGCCCAGCAGCATGGTGGATCCCCTGGCCAAACCTTCCTGCTTCACTCCCAGCCTGCCCAGCAGCATGGTGGATCCCCTGGCCAAACCTCCCTGCCTCACTTCCCGCCTGGTTGATCCCATGATGGGCCCCCTGAATCACTTTGTCTGCCTCCTTCCCAACCTGTCCAGCAGCGTTGTTGACCCCATGGATTAGCTTCTCTGCTTCCTTTCCTGCTTGTCCGGCGCCACTGTTGATCCCATGGGATACCTTGTCCAAGCCGTGGTTGAGCCCCTTTTCCAGCTCCTTGCCGGCCTGGTTCCCCATGCTGCTCAGTCCATTAAAAACTTTTTCCACTTCCCTTCCAGCTTGAGTGATTCCGTTATTGATGCCTTCCAGGGCCTTGCCCACCTCTCTCTCTGCATTGCTCAGCCCCCTGTTGATCCCTTCAATGACCTTCTCAAGGGGGTCATCGCTGGCCGCCCATCCAGGCAGGGCCCCCAACAGCAGTAGGAGGGAGCAGGAACTGACCACGCTGGCAAGATGCATACTGTTGGGAGGGTGGGGAGGATGCGGAGAGGAGCCAGTGAGCCAAGCTGCTATTTATCCTCTGCCTGCTCCCTCTTCTCCACCCCTCATGACTCAGCTACCCCCGAGAGGCACTGACTCGGTCCCCAGTCAAGGAGGTATTTCCCAGGAAGATTTGAGGTTGAGCAATGAAGAGGAGGAGGAAGAGAGGGTGAGTCATGAGTGGAGAACACTCACATGGCATCTTTGCTCCTTGCCCAGCTCTGGCCCTCCACCCCAGAGCCTAGGTGTCTGCCCTTCCACCTACCTCCTCGCTTCATTCCTCACCCACTGGCCAGGCCTCCTCTCTCCCAACCCCACCTTCAATCATCCCCCACCCATGGTTCCTCAGCATCTTCACTCCTCTCAGGGGATCCAGGATCCAGCTTCCCGGCACTGAGATTCTAGAAAGATGGAAGGTGCAGTCAGGGGGAGGGGCACACTCTCAGGAAGTCGAGGGAATAATTCTTATTGTTCTTGTTGACCCCCCCACAACACACACACGCTATGTTCCAGCCACACAGGACTTCCCCTGGCCCTTAAACACACCAAGCTCATTCCTGCCTCGTGGCCTTTGCACATGCTGTTCTCTCTGGTACGCACAACTCAGATCTCCATATGGCAGGCTCCTCCTCATTCTGTTTTTGGCTCAGATTTCACCTTCTCAAAAAACCTTCCCTGGCCATCCTGCAGTTATACTCTGTAACATCATCCTTTGGGTTTTATAGCACTTACTACGATCCAAAATTTCCTTTTTTATTGTCTGTCTCACCTATCAGATTGTAAACATCTAGAGGACAGGGCCTTTGTCTGTTGGTTACTGCCATATCCCCAACTTCTAGAACACTGCCTGGAGTTCAGTAAATATTTATAGATTGAACAAATGGATGGATTAGAAGAAGCCAAGGTAAGAAAGGCTGGGGCTGAGCCTGAGTCTCAGAGGGTGCTGGGGGAAGGGTGCCTAGGTCCTCAGAGCAGCCAAGGGTCCTTTGGGGCCGAGGAGGGGGGATGGTTGCAGATTTTGGAGCCAGGTCACATTCTCATCACAGAACCCTAGGCTCCTGCCTCCCAGCCCTTGGGCAAGGGCAGGGGGCTGATTGCCATGAGCTGGGACAGGACGCAGTGTCTCCTGAAAAGCCGGTTGAGGCAGCCACGGGGAGGGGCTGAAGACCCAGAGCAGCAGGAGACTGTCAGCCAGAACCTGGGCTGGGGGCCAGGAGCTCATTCTTCCTGATCTCCTCCCCCTGGAAACTCCTAAGTTCTAACCTGAAGCCCAGGTGTTGACATGACAGCATGGGTTGAGGGGGAAACAGTTGAGAGCTTGCTTCATCGGGGGAAAGGCAGGTGATGGTTGTTAGATCTGTGGCAGAATTGTCTATCTGGAGCTAGTTTAGAGGGAGGCAGAGACCAGAAGGACCAGAGCCAGTGGGTGGGTACAGTTGGGTGCAGGGGTGAAAGATATTTGGGTTTTGGTGCCAAGGGGAGAGAATGAGAGAGGAGGTGGAGGTGGGATTGCTAGTGGGAAGGCCAGGCAGGAAGGAATGTGCAGGGTGTGAGCAAGTGGGGGTGAGAGAGTTATGTGTGTGGGTGCCCAGGTGTGGTGAGAATCTTCACGTGTGTTCAGGCTTTGCTCAAACAAGGACAAGGCCCACTCCCCTGGGCAGATCCAGGGTTCCACCCCAGATCCTGGACACTTGGCTCTACACACTCCCCTGGGAAGACCCAGGGTTCCACCCCAGATCCTGGACACTTGGCTCTACTCAGAACCAGGCATCCCAGACCCAGAGGCCCAGGAGCTTCTGCCTTCTCTGTGCTCTGCCTATCGAGGGTGACTAATTGTACTACCTCTCCATACTTGAGCTCATCAAATCTGTTTCCCAGTTTCACACTCCAGGGACAAAGCCAAGTCCCTGGGCAACCTCAGGCGTGGCTTTTCTGCCCTGTCCAGTGCCTAAATGAGGGAGTTTCCCATGCGAGGAGATTAGTGGGTGGGGAGCTCCAGAATCCTAATCCTCCCTGAGATTGACAGGTGGGGTTTTTCCATTTCTCTTTCCACCCCTCTCTCTGCCCCACTCTACCATCTTCCGTCAGCCTCAGTCCCCCCTCCTCAGTGCCCCATTCCCATTGGTCACTATTTGGTTCTGGACTTTGGCATCTGTCTCTGTGAGATTGGCCTGCCATCCTCCACTGGTTTTGGTAACGTGGCTGTGCTGATTTCCTAGAGTGAGTGGAGTAGCTTTCAGTCACTCAGCCATCACAGCTCCCCCAAAGCACTCCCAAGAAGTTTACCATGAAAGTACACACAGTGTGACCCAGGCGGTGTGGCTCACTCAGTGGTTGGGCATCTGACCTATGACCCAGGAGATCACGGTTTGATTCCCGGTCAGGGCACATGCCTGGGTTTCGGACTCGATCTCCAGCAGGGGGCGTGCAGGAGGCAGCCGATCAATGATTCTCTCATCATTGATATTTCTCTCTCTTCCTTCCTCTCTCTGAAATCAATAAAAATATATTTTAAAAAAGAAAGTGCACATAGTGTGCCTGCCAATCCATGGGGCCCCTGAGCATCTGTCCTGCCCAGAGCCTCTCCAGCCCTGGTTAGGATCTGCAACACTTCCTTTGGACTGGCAAACATTTGTTCCTGATGCTCTGGCAGATCTTGCCATGAAATCAAAATCCGAAGCAGGCTTTGGGAGGATAGACCTTCACTCTGTCTCTTGCTATTGGCCTACTCAGATTTGCCATTTCTTTTCATATCAATTTTGATCCTTTATGTCCTCTAAGAAATATTTTAATTTCATTGAGCTTTTCATATTTATTATTGTAAAGTTGGACAAAATCGGTCCCTTTTCTGTCCTGGTTTCATTTATATGCTCTTTCCACCCCCCTTGATCATACATGTAAAGTTTGTCCCCCTTTGTTTAATTACTATCTTTTTTTGGTCTAGGTTGATTGAAATCTTCCTCTCTGTATGTACACCCAATTTAGTTTCAGTTCCACCTCTCCGGGGCCATCCAAGCAGGAAGGCCTCACCCTCACCCTGTCCCATGGCAGTTGCTTTAGCAAACTAAGTTCCTAAGGAGGTTTGGGGAAGAGGTTATGTCAGTCACTGTGCCCCTTCTTGCTTCCACACCTTTCTCTGGGATGGTGACTCCTTCCTGGCCCAAACCCCCACACCCCTAAGTCTTGGTCATAGCTGAGTGTCAACTGGCCCTGCAGGTGAAGGTACCTGCCTGTGAGTCACAGGTGTACGAGCAAGCCCCCACCCTCGGTGCTTTAGAGGGAGCCACCTGTGCATTTAGTCTTTCCCAAATGTATATGGAAGCTTGCTGTGTGCCAGGCACAGTTCCAGGTGCTGGAAGACAGAGGGGACCCCATGCCTCGTGGGAGAGACACTGAGCAAGTAACTCATAACTAGACCATGGCAGGCTGTGTGGAAGCCCCACGGAAAGGAGTTCTGAGAGAGGGCATGGCTGGGAGGAAGCTTTAAGATTGGGGGTCAGAAGAAACCTGAGGAGGGGACATTTATTCATTCATCCTGGTATTACTTATTGAGTGGGTACCTTTTAAGTGCCAAACATTCCTCTAGTCAATGAGGTATAAAACTGATGAGGTAGATGAGCACTCTGCTCTCCCAGAGCTTGCTCTAGTGGGCAGACAATTGGTAAGACAACAAATGAACAAAATGATTTCTTAGAGACACATGCTGTGAGGGGAATAAAAATAATAGAGTGTAACCCTGGAGTAGTTTTGCACATTTGAACATCTAACGCAGGATGGGAAGTCAGACAGGCTTCCTGAAAGGTGAGTACATCCAGCGGTGAGGCTGATGGCAGGTGGTGGCTGAGAAAGGAGAGGACTTCAGATGGGGAATCAGGAGGATCTCTTTAAAGGGTAACACCTGCCCTGGAACGGTGGGGCTCAGCTGGTTGAGTGTCAGCCTGTGCACTAAAAGGTGGCCAGTTCCATTCCACATCAGGGCACATGCCCAGGTAGTGGGCTTGGTCCCTGGCAGGGGGGGGTGCGTGCAAGGCAACTGATCCATATTTTCTCTCTCCTTCCTTTCTCTCTAAAACCAATAAAAACATATTTTTTAAAAAATTTTAAAAAAGGGTAACACCTGAGGGAAACCATGAAGCAGCCAGCTGAGAGGAGGCCGCCAGGGCTCCCAGGCATAAAGGAACAGCTGGGGTAACTGGGGGGTGCGGGGGAGGTGTCAAGGCACAGCCCAGAGGCAGTGCGCTAAGGAGAGAGGGAAGGGCGTTGAGGACCAGAGTAAAAAGTTGGATTCCACTCTAGTCGCCCGCGGAGGTCTTAGAATGCACAGCGTGGGGAGGGACGGCACACGCCTCCCCTGGGATGGGATGGGCTCTTGGAGCCACCGCCTCTGTGACCTCACGGTACTGTGACATCACCGCAGGAAGCTCGCGCGCCCCGCTGGCCCCCGCGCCCCGCGTCGCACTAACATCTCGGCCCCGCGTCGCAGTAACATCGCGGCTAGTCCCTGGGCTACTGGGCCATGAAACCTTAGGAGGCCATGTCGAAACGCGACGTCGTCCTCACCAATGTCACCGTTGTCCAGCTGCTGCGACAGCCGTGCCCCGGTGAGGGAGGCGGCGGAGGGGCCCGCGCAGGGGACGAGAGGGAGGCCGGGGAGCCGCGCTCGCAGGGTCGGAGCCCCCTTCGTCCAGCGTCCGCCAGAGAGGGACCGCAGGCGCGGGCTGGCCGGCGGGGTCCTCACCCAGAGCCCCTTGCCCCCGCCCTCCGGCCGCCCCTCTCCCGTCGGCCACCGGAGTTTGCTGGCAAAGTGGTTTCTATGGCCGTGGAGGAAGGGACGGGGACCCCCAACCTGAGGGTGGGCTGTGCGCCTCCCGCGCGGCGGAAGGATAGGAGCAGGGGCCGGACCGAGGCTGGAGCGAGTTTACACGGGGCAGCTCTGATGACAGCCGCCGGGGTTAAGCAGCTCAGCGAACGGGGTTTCACATAAAACTGACGCTCCTGCCGACCAGGGCGGAGCGGCCGCTAGAGAGTTGATGGGCTTTGTCCCTCCCTGTATTGCGCGAAGATAGGACATCTGCAACCTGCCAGGGCTGTGCCAAGCGCCTGACAAGCGTGCACTCGTTGAAGCCTCACAACCACCTGCTGAGGTCAATGTATTTACTGCCCCCTTTTCAAAGATCGCAAACCACGTCCCTTAGGTCTCTCACACTGGAATAGCGGAGTTGGGGCTCCGAGCCCCTGCTTGCAACCACTGGGCAGCCCTACCTCGCCCAGCCAGAGGTGCGCGCACACACCCCCAAGCGACGAACCCAGGTCTCCGGAGGAGGTGGGAGGGGCGCAGCAGGGAAGCTCCGCCCCACGGGGCTGGCCGTGGCCGAGTCTTAGGCTTGGCTCGAGCGGGGAAAGCCTGCAAGATGCAGCAGCGGACAACGTAATGGCTGTGGGCCTTAATCCCCCTCCCTGCTCGGCACCAGCTCTGTGACTTCGGGCCTCAGTTTTCCCTCTGTAAAGTGGATTTGTAGCGCATATCTCACAGGAATCTGTGAGCAGATGCACGTGGAGCTCAGCACAGCACCTAGTACTTAGCGGAACCCAGGTAATGGGAGTGTCATTGTAGTTGGGAGAGCCCGCTTGTGCGTGTTTCACCTACCAGGTGATGCTCCATGGATGAAGCTCCTCTGGGCTCCTCCTTCACAGTGCAGCAACTTTTCTACAGCCCATGTAACCCACCCCCTAGAGGAGAGGGGAGGGGAAGGCTGAGGGAAGTTGGGAGAGGAAGACTATCCAAGTTTTCCGGTGGTAGAGTGGACTCATCCCTACTCTTACCCCAGATGGACAAATCTCCTTTCCATTATAGCAGAAACAGAACCCCAAGGAATGCAAACATCCTTAAGGTCACCAACAATCACAGGGTCTCTGCCACCAATAAACACTATTACTTTTATGAACTTGTTCTGCTACTATAAACACCCACAGCCCAGCCTCAGGCCACGAGGTCTGTGGCAGCCCAGAGAGTTCAGGGAGACAATAGGCCAGCTGGCCCCTGGCATCTAGCCCCACCACCTCCCAGGCGCCTTCAATTCTAGCGCCAAACCCAACTCCCACCTTCATCCTCAGGCCTCTCTCTAAACCCTGCTCTCTCTCTTTCCTCATGAATACTTCGTATCGGACTTCCTCCCCTCTATTAAAATCAGCACCTACTGGGCCTTGAGATCTCAGTGAGTCCTCACAGAAGTCCCCAAGTGGAGGGTCAGATGTGATGACAGGAAACAAGCCAGAGAGGTTCATTAACTTGCCCAAGGTCACACACATGTCAGGTAGCTGAGCCAGGGCTAACCAGGCCTGATCCCCAGTATGAACCCTCTGCCAGGCAGGCCCCCGACTGCTATCACCACATCTCCCCTCCTCTCAAGCCTTCACCTGCAACTCAGGTAGCACACCTCCAAGCACAGCATGGGAGTGGGAGTATGTGTTTAGAGAGGTGGAAGCTAATAAAGGTCTCCATCTGTTTTATGTTATAGTACCCGGTATTTTCTAAACTTCTCTGAGAATAAAAATCACCTGAAGTGCTTGTTAGAAACACTGGGGCCTCAGAACAGACCTATTCAGTCAGGTTTTCCTAGGAGAGGGTTCCTGGAGGATGTTTATCAGAACAGTTTGGGGATCACTGGGCTACATGAATTATCAGATCATTCAGGAAAAGATCTTTGAAATACTAATGTATGTGGAATGTTCCCAGACTCTTGTCATAAGCACTACATATATTACCTCATTTAATCTACACAGTGACCCTCTGAGAGAAGTACTATTACCTCCATTTTAGAAATGAGGAAACTGAGTCAGAGAGTGTCACCCCAAGCAACTGTTAAAAATATATAGTACCCACTAAATTAGAATCTCCAGGGAAGTGGCCCTGGCATTGACATTTTAAAGCAAGCCCATCCCCTGCTCATCCTGTGGATCAGGTAGGTTTAGGAAACACTGGGCTAGATGGTTGGCCACTAGGGGCCAGAAGCCAGCAACAGGTCCTGGGTGGCAACAGGTCCTGTGATGGTGCAGTTCATTGCTGCCCCTACTCCCTCCAACAGTGGCCAGACCACCACCCCCGCCACCACCTCCGCCACCACCCAAAGTTGAGTCACCGCCGCCATCACCACCACCACAGCCTATCAAGGAGGAAGTCCCACCTCCTCCGCCTCCTCCACCTAAGAAGGTTCCTCCGAGTCCCGAACTGACTGTTGGCATCAATGGGTGAGTCAGCCCTGGCCCCTGAGCCTTCTGGAAGCCATAGGACCCAGACTTTCTGCTAGTTACTGGATGAGGCATCTCCACATTTCTCACCATCAATGCTTTCATTCTGTCCACCCTGGAGAAAGAGGGAAAAGGTACAGGGCATCACCTGGAACATTCAGTTGGGTGATGTGTATGAACAGCATGGAGTATAGTAAAACTGGAGAGGCCAGAATTAGCTGGGGTGTCAGGAAAGACCTCTGGGAGGTGACACTGGAGTGAAGCCTGAGTGGCAGCTGTGCAGCAAGCACTGGCTGTGGGGCAGAAGGGGCAGCTCAATGCGCTGGTGTGGAGCAAACAAGGCAGGAGAGGAAGGAGTGTGGTGGCATGCAGACGGGGGCCTGGTGGGCCCTGCTAAGGAGTTTGGATCTGGTTTTACTGATAGAGCTGTGGAGGTTTTCAGGCCAAGATAACAGGACCTGAAATTCTACAGGATCTGTCCAGCTACACAGTTAGGAATGGGATAGAGGATGGATGGGTGAGAAAGCAGGTAAATCAGTTAAACTGGCGAGGTCATCTAAGCAAGATGATAGCGGCCAGCACAGTGTTGGCTGCCTTCTTCCCCCAGACTGAGGAGTCCCACCCAGTCCCCTTGAGGAGCCTCCTGTTACCCCTTCTCTCCCATCCCCTCCTCTGCCTGCTGGCTGAGGATTCTGAAGACAACCCTACAACCCTTGTCCCTGGACAGATTTGGACGCATCGGTCGCCTGGTGCTGCGAGCCTGTGTGGAGAAAGGCATTAAGGTGGTGGCAGTCAACGATCCATTCATTGACCCAGAATACATGGTGAGCAGCAGGTAGAGGGTGGGAGCGGGGTGGGAGGGCTCATGGGGGCGCTCTGGGAGGCTCCCAGCTGCAATGTGGAACCTTCCCCAAGGCAGGGATTCCTCAGGGATACCCGCTCTCCCAACCATGCCACCCCCAAGATAAGGAGCCATTCTGTCTCCCGCAGGCGTACATGTTTAAGTACGACTCCACCCACGGCCGATACAAGGGGACTGTGGAGCACAGGAGCGGACGGCTGATTGTGAATAACCAGGAGATCAGTGTCTTCCAGTGGTAAGGGCAGAGGGCTGACACCCGCATGCAATGCATTAATGGAGGGTGCAAAGAGGGCAAGGACGGGGGTCCAGCCTCTTTCTCGAGGAAAGGGCCAGAGTCCCTGAGGTGCCAACTCTTTGCCCCATGACAACTTAACAATTGCTACAGAGGAGTTTGTTGAGTAGCCCTTTTCCCCAACTCAGAAGGCAGGAAATATGGGGGGGGGGCCTCAGAGAAGAGCTAGTTGAACCAGATGATAAAAGGTGTGACCCGACAGAGCAGATGACCAGGAAAAGAGTCATGTGGTGGCCCAGGGAGAGGATAGGAAGTGTCTCATTCATTCATTTATTCTGGCATGCGGCCAGTACAGATCCTAGGCCAGCCTGCCTGTGCTCCCAGCCAGCTCTGCCTCCTGCCTCCTACCCCTTCACCTCTGCCCTGGCTTCTCTGGAGAATGCCAATGAGGCATCTAACCCTCCTCAGGTTTTGAGGGTTAAATGATTCAGTAAAGGTGAAGCACTTAGAACATGGGCACATGGCAGGTGTTCAGTAAACATGTGTGGGCTAACGAATAAAAAACCAACCCACAAACACTGTCTGAACCCCTCTGGGGAGAGCAGACTCAATGACAAAGGAAAGAGACCAAGCCTTGTTGCCACAGAGTTGTCTAAAAGACGAGGCAGATGCTAAGAAAAAAATCACAAAAGCAAATACTGAAGTTGTGATAAGCCCTGTGAGGGAAAAGACTCCTATACAAGTAGAAAACAGCAATAATGTTTAATGTTTCCAATGCAAACGTTTGATAAACTAGCAAGTAAAAATAAAAATTTATAAAACATCAAACAGAAAAGGTCTTACCTTTCTAATGTAAACCACTAACCACTGCTGACCCCAGAGGGGCCTCAGGCTTTAGTCACATCCCTCTCCCCCATTGCTCCCAGGATGTAGTGCCTGTCTTCAGGGACTTGCCCAGCCTCTTGCAGTAGGCTCCCTGTTGTAGAAGCTGAGTGGTAAAGACAAGAGAGGCAAGGAGGGCCATGGTGAGGTTGCAAGGGCAGGGAACCAGAAGCAGTAAAGCAGGCCTCACTCTCTTGGGGTCTACATTCTGGGCAGTCTATGTAGAAAGGGCCTGACCTGGTTGGCAGTAGTCAGGGATGGGTCCCTGGGCACAGGGGGTGAATGAGGCCTGAGGAGGTAGCAGCTTGTATATACCTGGGCATAGCAGGGGTGGGGCAGGGCACAAAGCAGTTTTGGGGTGAGGGTCAAAGACCAGCAGGGTCAAATCTATCTGGGATAGCTAAGTATGTGTGGGTGGGGAGAACAGATGGCTGCAAGTCAGGTGTGAAGGTGTCTGGTTAGCCTTTCAAACGGTAAAGGCCATGGACTATGAAGGCAAGACCATGCAAGGGAGACTGATGCACAGCCCTGCCACCCCTTCACAGCAAGCAGCCCAAAGATATACCCTGGAAGTCTGTCGGGAGCCCCTTTGTGGTAGAGTCCACAGGCATGTACCTGTCCTTGGAGGCATCTTACGTAAGTGGGGGAGAGGTGCCCAGGGCTGGCCAGGGGGTGTGACACTTGAATCTCATAAATTAATGACACCAGTGCTCCTTCCTCCTTCCCTAGAGCCACATCGAGGCAGGTGCCTCACGTGTGGTCATCTCCGCACCCTCACCAGATGCACCTATGTTTGTCATGGGGGTGAATGAAAAGGAATATAACCCTAGCTCCATGAAAATTGTCAGGTAACGGGCAGCAACATCCTGAAGTTGGTGAGGGGAAGGGATCAGACTCAGCCTCCCCACCCTCACTCCCACTGGTGCTTCTTTCACATCCATCTGCTTCTCCTTCCCAAAGTCTTAACAGCCACCATTTTAAAGTTCACCTAAAACTGTTAGAAATGCACAGCTTCTGAAGAACATGCTTGGGGAGCTTCCCCCAGCTATTCCTCTGGTGCCTCCTTCAGTCTGAAGGCATCGCCAGTGATCTTTCTCATCCCCATCCTGCCTCTTCACAAAACCACGCCTATAAGCATACCCCCCAAATGAAGTACGGGTGGTAGGGTGGCTCTGACGCTCACCTCACAGTCCCCTTGCATACTGGGCTGTTTCAGCAATGCATCCTGCACCACCAACTGCCTCGCCCCCCTTGCCAAGGTCATTCATGAGCGATTTGGGATCGTGGAAGGACTGATGGTGAGTTCGGGAGAGGGCTGGGCAGGATGGATGGCAGGGAAACTATACCTCCTCCTGTCAGGACTTGCTTAGTGTGTGAAGTTAACAGGAAGAGACTGGTTTCAGGAGGAAAGGCCTGCCAGTGGTGAAGTCTTTTAAGACACTGTAACTCTCAGGCAAGGCTTGACCCTGGCTTGCAGGTGCCCCTCCTATGGTCTGTGGTGGTGGCCCCACCAACCTTCACACCTGGCTCATCACCCCAAGCTTGGAAAAAAGAGGCATGGGAGCTTAGGAGCAGGAAGGCCTCACCTCAGCCCCCTTCTTCCCAAGACCACAGTCCACTCCTACACGGCCACCCAGAAGACAGTGGACGGGCCATCAAAGAAGGCCTGGCGAGATGGACGAGGAGCCCACCAGAACATCATCCCAGCCTCTACAGGGGCTGCCAAGGCCGTGGGCAAAGTCATTCCAGACCTCAAAGGGTATGAGGGAAAGAAGCTGCAACCAGCATGGGGGACACACCCTGGGAAGAGCAGACTGGTCCCAATCCTTGAGGTTCTAATGAGAGGAAGGTGGAAGGTGAGGGGGATGGATGGAGAAGTCTCTGGTTCTGACTCCCACCTCGATGTGGTATTCTCCAGGAAGCTAACAGGAATGGCGTTCCGGGTGCCAACCCCAGACGTGTCTGTCGTGGACCTGACCTGCCGCCTGGCCCAGTCCACCCCCTACTCGGCCATCCAGGATGCCATAAAAGCAGCAGCCAAGGGACCCATGGCTGGCATCCTTGCCTACACCGAGGATGAGGTAGGGTCTGAAAAGAGACCCTGAGAGGAACCCTTTGGGGGGAGAGTGTGCCTTCCCACTTGCCAAGGAGCTGCTCGCAATGTATCAAGATAGGAACTGCAGGGCTGGGAAGGTCAGATCTCCCTGCCTCGGACACTCTGCACTTGCTGCTCCTTTGGTCTAGAAAGCTTTTCCCCCAGGTGGCCATGTATGTCCTCACCTCCAATTCTTTACTTCAGCCTCCCTCCTCAGCAAGATTTCTTTTTGTGGCCCTTTACCTCAGCTGAAATTTCATTTCATAATCACTGTTGGTCCTGCTAGCACATATACTCCAAGAAGGCAAGGATTTAGGGACTATGTTTTCACTTCCATAGCTCCAGTCATCTTCCCAGGGCCTGGCACACGGCAGGTGCTCAATACATGCTTCGTGAACAAGACAAAAGATACCATTTTTCAACATTTGCTCAGGGCAGGCCATGGGCAGGTGCCTTCCTGTGAGGAACAGATATCACTGTCCCTTTGCTCCCAGCAGTGCCATCTCTGGTGCTGTCCCCCTGCTTTAGCTCCTGCAGGTCCACCCTTACACCAGGACCTCTTGTTTTAACGAAATTGGATCACATCACCCCGCACTGCTGGGAACCTTCCTGTGACCTTCCACCACACCAGGGACAACCCCCTCAGAGCCTGTGCTGCAGGCTCCTTCTACCTCAGAGCCTGCTGAGGGCCTGAGTTGGCCAGACCCTCCTAGTCATCCAGACCCAGCCTGGCTGCCTCCACTTGGGGCCCTCTGTGCCAGCCCATTCCAAGTACCTGAATTATTCCCAGGAAATTATTTTTTTTTAATGTTTTTTATTGATTTTTCAGAGAAAGAGGAAGGGAAAGGGAGGAAAGAAATATTGATGAGAGAATCATCGATAGGCTGCCTCCTACTATGGATCCAGCTGAAACCTGGGCATGTGCCCTGATGGGAATTCAACCAGTGCCTTCTTGGTGCATGGGAGGATGCTCAGTCCACTGAGCCACACCAGCCAGGCAGGAAATGATATTTATTGGTACAGCATCAGGGTGTTTATGGTCTGTGTCCTTTGGCCAGTCCCCCACCAGCAGAGCCCCCATGTGCCCTCCTCATATCCCATCCCCACACAGTAGGATTCCATCCAATACTGTAAGCGAATGCATGGCCAATACGCCTGAGGCAGAACCTGGACTCCTGGCCATCTTTCCTCTGCGACCCAAACTTACCTTCAAAATTCTGACACCCAGGTTGTCTCTACGGACTTTATCGGCGATACCCACTCGTCCATCTTTGATGCTAAAGCTGGCATCGCGCTCAACGACAATTTCGTGAAGCTCATTTCCTGGTAAGGGGGAAGGGGTCGGAAAACGTAGGGGAAGCCGGAGGTGATGGGGAGGGATCCCCTGACCCCTCGACTGCCCTCCTCAGGTACGACAACGAATACGCCTACAGCCACCGGGTGGTGGACCTCCTCCGCTACATGTTTAGCCGAGAGAAGTGAAGTGGGAGAGCCCCTCCTCTGCTTCCCTGAGCTCCCAGTCCAGAACCATTCCATCCCTCGGCTCCCCAGGGGAAGTAGGGCGCCCTGCGCGAGAGACTCGCGCCGCTGGGCCACCAGAAATAAAAACAGAGCGCTCACAGCTGCGCCCCGTGTTTCTGCGCGGTTCCCG